GGTATAAGCTGTTTTCTGTAATGAGCAGGTATTTCCTTGGTTTCTTCTAGAGCTGCGCCTGTGCCCAGTGGCAGAGGAGTGGTGCACTCAGGCTTGTCATGGCCCCAGGTATGCCCAAAATGCCACTGGGCTTATTGCAGTTGACTAGTCACATCCACGTGCTTCAGAATGAGCCTTCCTGGCACTGCCAGGAACAAGAAGTGCCTGCTCCACACATATCTTGCTCCTGACAGAGCTCTGTCTGAGTGACTGGGCTGGTTGCACCACCTCTAATTCCTACAGACTTTTCCTGTCCTAAACTAGGCCATGCAAAGATGGCAGAGGATTGTGATAGCATGGGTTGGGTTGGAAGGGACCTTAAAGCTCATCCAGTTCCAACCCCTGCCACAGGCAGGGGGTATCAGAGAACGCACTTTCAGTCTGCAAAAGCAAAGAAAGAACTGCACACTGAAAGAAAATCCTGCTTTGTTTACAGGTTGCTTTTATTTACAAATATACTGAAGTGTCATCTCTCTCTTTTTTTTTTCATTTTCTGGTTTTGGTTAGAGTGTGTGTGTGCGCACGCACATGCACGTGGGAAGGAGCATAATGTATGAGAAACTCCTGGATCTGAGCTGCCAGGCAAGGGTGGCAGGAAAAAAAATGCAGTGAATTGAAATTTCAAAATGCTAATAAATAATTTAACAATGACAAGTAATTAAATTAAAAAAAGAAAAACATAATAAGAATCCGATCTACATACATTATGGTGGTTTGTTACCAGCACAGAGGGAAAGGAGCAGAGAGTCTATGGTGGAAGGCAGCTGGTTAAGTATGAGAGAGCATAGTCATTTTTTTTTACAAGTTAAACAAATTGTAACAGACAGCTACAAAATACTACATTTCGATAACATAAATACAGAATATATAAATATACAAGTAATACAGCCATACACAGCTAAAAAATAGGGTGTTCACTTAAAAACAGAGTTCCCAATGCAAAGGAGCTGGCAGTCCCTTCACAGTCACTGCTGAGCAGAAACAGGGTGTGCAGAACCAAGGGGACCTGGCTGCACCCTTGTGGAGGGCAAATAGCTGTCAGTTTATTCAGATAGGCCTCAAATGAGCAAGACTGTGCTTAAATCCCATCAAAGCCGAAAGACTTCGGGTACCTGCCAAGAGGTAACAAGTCTCAGGTACCCTCCTAACCAAGAGAAGAGGTGCCTGAAGCCCTGGCCAACGCTGCTGTGGGTGCAGCATCCGTTGTCCCATGCCACTGGGCTGGTGATGGACCCACACACACAGGGAGCATCTGCTGTTCAGAAACACATGACGTGGTTTGGGCATGGGGGTGTGTAAAGCACTATCCTGAGCACTTGAGACTGTGCGTACTGTGGCTCCAGCTCCCATGGCTTTGATGTGCCTCAGTAGCCTCTCAGTCCTTTCACTGTTGTGAGCAAGCTCCAGGCTTATGAGAACCCTTCCCTTCCTCCTGGGTTCTGCTGTTAATTTCCAGTGGCTTTTAGGGACAACCAGAGTTATTATGACATGGTTCAAAGAGGAGCTCTCGCAAACCCCAGCTTGCAGCATCCCTAGCAGCATCACAGAGCCGGGTTCCCTGGGGCACCTGCGGCGGTGGCTTGGGGTACACTTCTGATCCTTAAGGAAACTGGAAGGGAGTCCTGAGCACAGTAGGAAGAGGTAAGTGGGTTCACATCATCCCTGGAAGGTTTGCCAGCATGGAGGACCTTCCCCATGCAGTGACAGCACAGTGAAGTGGCTGAGTTGCTGCTGACAATGACCCCTTCAAAAGACCTGGTAACACTCATCTGACTTGTGCAGGGTGGCTTCCAAAGATCCACTCAGCAGCCATCGTAAGGGCTAACTTGAGTCACATTTCAGGCATAGTTAGCAGCAACTGAGCCAGGTGATTATGGTGTTATTCATGACAGAGTTTAAAGAAGAAAAGGAGATAAAAATGCCTAGAATAGTGTTTGAGCCATAGTGATTGCAACCACCATTCTTTACCGCAGTAATTTAACTGTCTTCCATGTTGTGACTGATACAAATTTACCACCAGCCCCTAACTGCCTATGATACAGGGTTTCATCCGCAGTGCTGTGGTAAACAGGGCTGAGAACAGGAGTGTATGGTAGGAATTGTCCTCTCAACAGTCAGCTGTGCAATGGAAAGGTGCTGCTGGTCAGGCAAGAAAGAGCCCAGTGGTGGGATCAAGGAGCACACTGCTCAGCAACCATTCTTGAATGCCAGCAAATCTCTCATGTGCCACTGTTACCACCTGGTAACTGCACACTACGGACCTTTGAGGAAGCTGGTGCTTGGTATATTCATTCTGATCTCACTACCATCTCTTTTAAACATTACTGAGCAAACACTGAAACCTAATCAATCATCTTCTACTTAATTGCATCTTGTCACCACTTAAGCTTAACGTGTATTCCTTGCTTAGGCAAAACAACATGATTGAAACACCGTCAAGAGCTCACTTGATGCATTTATATTAGAGAGGGGTTAATTTCCTAGGGAAAATGATCACTGTAAGGTGCATGTAATAAACTGCTGTCATGACCTCTAGCCTTCAAGCTCCCTTATGTGCAATCATTGCTTGTGGTTTCCGTGGAAGTGCCAGATGCTAAGAATTTTTGGCAAGACTTTATCAATTTGACTCAGTGTAAGATATTACTGTGATATGGCCCATTAAACATTTTACTTTCACCTGATCAGTGGAATTCCCTTGACAATAGAAGAGTAAAGCAGAAATCAAAAAGGTCAGAGGTTGCTCTATAATCTTTTACTGCAGGTCCCAGGTTAAAACCACAATGATCACACTCCAGTAGGGTAATTCATTCCACAAAAAAAAAAGTGACATTTATTTTGCTTTAATGAACTTTGGCCTTTGCCAGATATAACGGGTCCATTGGAAATCATTGGCTATGCATTCCTTCCCTTGACCAGCAGCAACCCACAGTGGCATGGGAAACGTTACGCATGCCAGAGGGCTCGACCGTGTTGTACATGTGGCACCAGAGATGGTAGAATATGGGGGAACAAACAGCTAAGGCATCATCATCGAACACAAGAGAAGCGGGGATGGTATGTACAAGCAATGAAAAGAAAGAGAAAAGGAAAAAAGGGTAGCAGTCATCCATAAAAAATCAGCAAATGATTATGGTTACTTCAGCTATAAAATGGAATATCTGATTCTTTCCTTGGAAATGGATTGTTATTTCAACATCCAGCCCACAAGCAGAGGTAGAGTTGGGACAAGGCAGTTCTCCAAACTGTAGGTCACATTATAGTTCTCATATAAGTCCCTGTAAACACTAAAAATGCCATTTTGATCCTGCCAGTAATGAGGGATGAAGTAAGGTTGTGCCTATGTGCAGAGGCTATAAACCCAGTATGTTTGAGATGGTGAAGATGCTTTTCTATGATTCTAAAGTAGCACAGCAGAAGGGTGGGGAGGAAAACTTGATGAATCCATTGAGATTGGTGGTGACAAATGCTTTAAATGTGCTGTATGAAATCTGCTTGCCATCTGCCCTGCAAGCAGTGAGGATCACCTGAGTTCTTTATAGATGTTTGCGGTCATGCAGAGAGAAAGGAAATTGTTATTTATTTTGATACACAGGGAAAGGGAGAAATAATTGAAGGGGATGGGTAAGAAAAGAAAATTCTTCCAATTTCAAAACATATCCAGGGGCTCGCAACCTTCAACTGAAAGTCCACATCCCTGTCAGAAAGCAAGCAATGGTCGCTAGCAAAAGCACAGGGGCGCAATGGCCCCTTTTCCCTGGGCATGGCAGCCTGCAGATAGGGCTGCCGCCACAGAAGGAGGAGATAGGAACCAACAGGGAGGGCAGGGTCACCCCAAATCCTCACTGAGACATTGGTTCCTTTGCTTGGGAAGAGCTGTGTGTGTGGCAGACAACAGAGGGAGGGTTTGCCTGGGGTCTGCGCTTGGCTGTCCTGCACTGCACACACAGTTTCCTCCCTGGTGCTTCCCTCACTCCACAGAGTGAAAACACATGCACCTTTTGCTTTTGCAACCTCTAACATGCTTGGTTCATGTTTCCATGCTTGGGTAGGGAATGTGATCTTATTTACTCCCTTAGACTTAACTGATCCTTGCTATCCACCCCTCTGGGACACAGGGAGAACCTTCTTCCATCAGTGAAGGGGTGAGCAACTCTCCGAGAGGCTCCCCAACAGGACACCCCCCCTCTGCCAAGGCCATAGGTTCTCTGTGCTCAGTAGATTTGCTTTCTTCCCAGTGGCACCCCCACCCCAATGGGAGTCCCAGAGAATCCCTACAGAAGGTGCTGAGTCCCATGGGAGACTCTGCAGCGCTGGCCTGGTACCAGTCCTCAGCGTGGAGAAATCGGATTAGCCAACGCTTTGGACTTGTTTTCAGCTATTATGGTCAATATATTAAAGGTATTTATTTAAGAAAGTGCCTATCCTGCCAATCTTTCCCCATGAGCTCTATTTTGAACACACCCTATAATTACTGATATTACCCTGGCAAATTTTCCCCATGAAGTTTTCTCCACTAAGAGCCATGACCGTACTTGCCTGCCTCTCCACATTATAATTATCACCAGGCAATATTTATAACTATACTATTATTATTTATGTTATTTTATGCCCTACGAAAACCTATATGACATATGCTCAAACTTCAGCATCTGAGACATTCAGACTTCAGCTGGGACATTACCTTCAATTTGCGTACTTGTTCATCTTACATTTGCACTCACAGGTTACTTGAGTATTGTAAATACAGGAGTCCTGTCAGTGTGAAACCTGCAGGACTCAGCTTAGACTTCAGCTCAACGTACCTAAACCTCCCATTGTGATCTCTTTTGTACTGTTTTTTCTCCAGTTAGAGCACGTTTCAGGACTTCTGATGGTTCAGGCTAGAACTGTGTATCATAGATTCTTGCTGAGGCGAGATAATTAACTAAAGGAGTGCTTAATTATTCCAGATGGACAATGGAGCACATTTATGCCTCATGCAAAACATAAATAAACAGAACAGAATGAACAACACATGTTTGCCAGTCATGGTCTAGACTTGAATTTGGCACTGCAGTACTTCCAGACAAATGTAAATGGTTTATTCTCACACTTCAAAAAAGAGAATTAAATAAAACTGTCTTGTAAGCACCTTTAGTTTTAATTATTTAAGATCAATACTAACCTAAATGCCTCTGTCCCTAACATGCATCTCCTCTCCAGGGTCATAGACCTTTCTTATTATGAAATCACTGGCTTTCTCCAAAAGTATTACTGTTAACCAGTTTCCTCAGTATCATATGCATAAGGGCTATAAACTAATGAGCAGATCTAGGTTATGTAGAAAAAGTGTAGAAAGGAAACAAATGTTGAACGTCACATTTACATTAACTTCTCACAGTTCAAATGGCAATTTATCCACAACATAGTATGAATCATGCAGTAAGAAAAGGGAGGAATCTCCAGTTTCCTTGATTTATTTGTCATATGGTCGACTGATGTCAGTATCAGTGGCTTTAAAAAAAACCAAACAAAACAAACAAAGCTTAAACATCCAAAAGAAAGGAAGAGAGAAAGGAGGAAAAGGTCTAGCTTTCCGCAAAATCCATTTCCTGTACAACGATGAGCTCAAACCAAACCAAAGGCTTCTGACGAGCAGGGTCTTCTGTTCATTCCGTGCTTGTCTCGTGGTCTGGTGCAAGCTGGGAATCAAGGGGATGGGACTGGTGGATGCGTTTTGCTTATATATATATATATGTATGTATGTAGGTAGGTATTAATATATATGTACATACATACACATATATGCACACAGATACAGTCTTCCTAAAAAATGCTCTTTGCAGTCCAGAGGCAGCAGGAGTCACTGTGAAGGAAGAGCTGGGCAACATATGGCTGTAGAGTCTGCACTGGAAAAAGTCACTGGCTAAATATACGCCGGCGGTTTGTTTTCTTTTATTTTCATGAGGCGAAATAGGAGCTCTGCATAGAGTACAGCCTGTCAATGGGATTTCCTACCCTAGCCTGCATGGAGTTAACTTCGGAAGAGGCAAGAAAACAGTCGCTCAAGCTAGTTAAAGAGGTATCACTGTCGATATCATGAAAAATGGAGTCGTTTCCTGCAAATGAAACGTATATGTTAAGCTGGATTCTGTGCAGGCAGAGGAGGACACAGTACACACGATGCTCACACGTTGCACGCTGCACCAAAAGGGAACGCTCCTGGTTTTGTTTTCACATGTTACCCTAGTTTTGCTCTAAGGGTCTGACCTACAAAGAGGAAGGCCAGCAACCAATCCGCAGAGTTCAGCTGGCAGCAGTGCCACTCAGAACTGCCAGGATTCAATTTATACTGCAGTCAGCAGCACAAAAGAGAGTCTTGGCTGATGACGGGAGCAAACAGTGCTGGGGAGGAGGAGCAAGTCCCCGGCTTCCTCTGAGTTGGGATCTGCCATTTGCAGGGGCACCAAGGCCCCAAGGAAGGTGGGACTAGACATCGAGTGCCTGTGATGGGAAAAGTGGTCTGAGAACATAACCAGTAATGATCTTCATTTGCACACAAGGTTGAAGGCAGAACTACAAATGTGATGGGACTCAGGAGGAGAGACCCAGCTTCTCTGGCCTCAGGTTAGCTACAGTTAAGAAAACTCCACAGTTCTGGGGCTGGTTTGGAACAGTGCCTTTTATTTCCCTTAGCAAATAAGATTTCAACTTACTTCAACTCTGAAGGTACCAGAAAGAGCTGTAGCTCAAGTCCTGTGAGCATTAAGAAAGTGTTAGTCTGGCTCTTTTTCCTCATGCGCCCATTTGAAATCACTTTGTGCTCTCCCCTCTATAGTGAAGTGAAGTGCTCCTGGTCAGCAGAAACGAGTCTGACATAGCAGACCCTTGTGGGTTACAGCAAGGCCAATAATCACAGTCTGAGAAATCCTCTTAAATTTTATTTAAATGCCACACTGCAATTGTCCAGAATCAATTATTAGGCATTTAATGCTTGTGATGTATTTAGGGTACCTATCCACTTGAAAGTGTGTGGTCAGGAAATCACAAAAGCAAACCATCATCTTGATTTTGGAAAGAGAATAAAATTACACAGGAAAAATGTGCTGTGGTGACACATCTCTTAGTAGCTTAAAAACCTGTTTTTAACAATTCCACACATCCAATCTGAGGGATCCTACAGGGGTGTTTATTCATTTTGGAATGAATAGATTGCTTCTTTTTATTGAAGGCACTTTTCCCCCAAAGCTTCTATGAAAAAGGAAAAACTTGTGAGGGAGCTAGAATTTGGTACTGTTTCTTTTTCACTGTCTTGGATATTGGTTTAAAAGAGTGGAGCTGGAGAGGCAATGTTGCTTGGTTTATCATTTCTCAGAATTACACTGTGAAATAGTTCTGAAGGGTGTCGAGAGCCTTGGATGAGCTCTCTTCTACCCCTTTGTGTGTACATGAAAATATACACATACACAAAACTGACTGGTACAAATTCCCTGGTACAAATCCAGAAAACAATACTATAAAAGCAAGTAACTCTACTGAACCTGTGGGGTGTGAACCAGCATACGAACCCTGCTATTTCTGATGTGGCAGAATGATGCATGCCTTACCATAAGGGTTCATGTGGTCGCCTGGCATTTGTGGAGGGGTAAGACCCTGCTGAAATGGGTCTGTGCCATAACTGCTTTGATCCATTGCTACAATCTGCTGCTGTGGCGGTGCAAGTGGCGTGTAAGATGTCATCATCCCTTCCATTCGGTTGGACATTACTTCTGCAAAGCAAACAGGAGGGCACAGTCACTACTTAGGAATAAAGAGGCAGCAGACAGTAGCATCAGCAGCAATACAGAACCCAAGCACAGAGGGGATGCAGCTCAGTGAGTCCTGTCGTTCAGAGAAGGCTTCCACATTTTGTCTGAGAGTACAACCCTGAGCAGTACATTTGTAATTTCTGACTAAATAATTTCTGAAGTTATTATTTAACTCTAGGTGTGGAGTTAAATAGTACTGCTGGACCATATCTTCCCAAAGTCTGTCCCATGTGTGACACAGCCCTGTTATTCTCTAACTTCTGTGGTACCACTTTTTCTGGCTCTTTGTAGAGGAGGATTTGAGGCTACAAGACCTTGGGAGCTGGAGATGCTCAAGAGCATCCACAGAGCAGCAGGGTAAGCCCTGGTGCCTCTGTGCAGTTCCCTCTGCCTTGGCTGTGGCAGCAATGCTGATGATACTTTTGCAAGCAGCCTGCAGGACTCCTTTCTCAGTATCTACCTGGAGTGAGCCTCCTGGAGGGTTCCTCCAATGAAAGCACCTCTGTACTGCAGATTTATTCTAGAAAGCAGGTAACAGCTTCTGTGTGAGCACCTCCAGGGCCTGGCTGCATGGAAGAACTCTGGGATACCCTGGGCTGGGCACTCGGACAGAGCACCGATGGTGGCACACATTATCCACAGACTCATGCGTGCTCTGTGGGGTTGTACTTAAGGCATTATGTGGGAATGGCACTTCAAGAAACATGGTGGATTCTTTATCCATTTCTTTGCCTTCATCACAGATGCCCTACCTTGCCCTAGTCGCTGCGAGTTTTGTTGCTCCTGCTGCTGCTGATGCCTTCGTGCTAGTTTTTTCATCTGATAAAAGAGAAAGAACAGAACAATCGCATGGCTCAAATGCAACAATTTTGTTTCCTTACAAAACTCTCTACAAACATAGAATCTATTAAAGCAGACCATTTAGATTCATGCTCACACCACTGTGGGTTCAGTTTCATTTCTAAGCTTAAACATTTTAGTTTCTATTTCATATTTGCATGCAAAATTTACCCCCAGCTTCACGTTGCTTTGAACACATGAACTTAATATCTGTGTTTGAAAGTTGCCTTTCCTGTATGGATGCAGACAGCAGTGCATGCAAAATACGTACAGTTCAGTCCCTGGGATCCCTGTGGTGTGTACTACATCTAGGGGGAGGGGGAAGCCTGTGTTGGAGGACAATTTGTGTTTTACTTTTGAGAACTTGACAAACAACCTACCTTTGCTCTTTGGTTTTGAAACCAGACCTGGACAACTCGCACGCTGAGTCCTGTTTCAGCTGCTAGTGTTTCTCTGACCTACAGGAGGAAATGTTTAACAATGTCAATTTTAATATCTTTTAGAAAAACTAATCAGTTATGTACGGAGGATTATTCCTGTACTTACACTAATAACTGCATGTGCAGAATTACTTCTAGAAGTGCCTCATATTTTTGCATAGTTCGCTCAAGTTCTGCCCTCCATGTCACCACCAGTTTCATAAGTACTGAACAAATAATCTGAGCTGTGTAAAATGACACAGTCAAACTTAGGAGGGAACAGTGAGCTGGGTTGCTTTCTGCCACCTTCATCAGTGAAGAAATACATTCTGCCTTTCCCTAGCTGCTATAAACAAGATCAACAGAAGGGCTGTTTCATAGAAAAGCAAGACTGGAAGGACAATAGTTGGTCCGAAGCTGAGCACCCTCTCACTTGTTAATTACTTCCTCTGTAGTGGGAAAAAGAAGGGCAAAACTACTTGTTTACCTGGGGTCTGATAGTCAAGGCCTATTTCATGTTTTATAACAGACAAGTATTGTTGTTCAGCAGGAATCAGTCATGGAGCTGTTCTGCATGCTGTGAATACCAAGGGACAGCAATGAGCTGGTTGGTCCTGAGCTGCTGGTTGCTCCAGATGGAGATGGCATTTGGGTGAGTGTTACCATACAATGGCATGGTCTCTGGAGTCACCCCAAGGTACCTGCTGCTGTCCCAAGAAAGGGCAGGGAGCTGTGGCCTGACCCTGTCACCCCTGCGGCCTGGTGTCAGAGCTGACTTCTGGTCCCTGATGAAGCACTTACCTTCCTACAGGGCTTGGAAGACACTTCAAAGGATGCTTTGAATGCTCGTCTCTGCTGCGTAGTAAGTATTGTCCTCGGTCGTTTAGGTCTTCTTGGGTCCTTCCCATCATCACTTCCTTTTCCTTGTGTTACTTGTCCTTTGGTGGGCTTAACATCTCCGTCTTCATCATCACTTTTAACTGGTGAAAAATGAACAGGATATGAAATCATACTTGTTCCACCAAGATAACAGGGTGTTTGAGAGCTGCTCTTCAGCTGCCAAGCTAGTTAGCAGGTTAAACATTATCCCATGTTTCTCTGAATACCTAAAGCAACTGCAGGAAGGAAGAGACTGACTTATATTTGTGTGCACTGCTTAAATCAAATGCCATAAAAACATAAAAATGTGTTTGATTTTTAATTCAGGGGTTTGAAATCCAGAATATGGTTCAGTATTTCCAGGAATCAGGCACATAGAGACTTCATGCCCTTCTGACATCGCTTGGTCCCCCATGTGCTCACCTCCTGCAACCACACCAACTGATGCACACCCTTTTCTTTACAGCAGAGCCACATCTGCTCCAGAAGCATTAGCTGCAGACAGGTACCACTGCCTGCACCACTATGGCAGCAAAACAGTGTAAGTGCAAATATCACAAAAATATCTCAAGCTATATATAGTGTACATTCCAGCTGTGGATTTGAACATTTTTAAGCTCTAGAGATAATATTCGATATAATCTTTGCATCTCATTCACGTTTCCCACAGAAAACATTAGAGTTCTTTCTCTATGTACTATAGTGTGTCTATTATGTGCATCCAGAAATCTCTCTTTCTTGGTAAATACATACAAGTATGTGCTTGTGTAGACCAAATGGATTATTTGTTAAACTCTGAATATTCATACAATCTGATGATACAATGTTTGCTAGTGTGTTGTAATAGAAAACACCAACTGCAGTGGCAAAGTGTTAAGAGTTAAGTACAAATTTTGTTCTGAAAAACAACTTTTCAACTCAGCATATTTTATTTCACTGGATGACTGATTTTTCTTCCAGAAAATGTTAATATACTATTATAGGGACTTCAGCATGAAGAAACGCTCTGCAATTTTTATATACTCAAAGATCATGTTTGGGGAATTAACAAATTAGACTTTAATTCATTTTAGGGCCTGATTATTATGCACCTAGCAATCTAATCACCTTTTACTTTAATAAGCATCTTTGGCCTAATGATTAAAGAGAACTTCAGTCATTTTAATAACCATGACATTATTAACTTTCCAGCATGCTATTTTGAAGGAAAGGTTTGTGAGGATTAACATTGCTCATTGGAGAGTTACTTTTGTGTCCAGTGGTTAATTATTTGATTGGAGAAGGACACATTCTCAGCCAGGGCTATGTGAAATCATTTGCTCTCACACAGGCATCTGGGAGATCTGCGTTTTCTATGTATTAGACAACGGGAGACAAAGCATCCCATTTAATTTGTCAACTTGTTTTTCAGGTTTGGGTTTGGCTAACAGAGAATAATGAGGGGGAAAAAAAAAAGCATCTCCAGGAGTAAGAAACTACCCCTTGTGCCAAGGGGAAATGGAATTGAAACCAAGGTTGTTTTGTCCCACTGTGGTAGCTTGCTGATCATCACAAAATAGAATATGTGTCCTGAAGGAGAGCCCAAAGCACATCTCCAATGCAGCTACCAGTGCCAGCATGATGAGGGAGGAAGGCAAGGGAGAAGGATCCCCGTCCCATTGCTACAGCACAGGGACAACCCTGTACATATAGATTCTCAAAGGGGCTTTGTCTGAACACAGATAGGCTGACAGTGGGACTCTGAGGCTGGAGATGAGAACGACACGCTGAAGGACAAGTAGGAAGCTCACAGGCCTGGGGCAAATTCACAGACCTTGTGACGTGAGGTTTACAGAGCAGAGCATTCAAGGCCCTGCAAGTTCAGTATGGCAATAAGTAACGTGCTCCTCCAAGAAAGACCCCGGTCCCGCGTGTCCTGCCGAGTTAGCAGTGACCTTTGTCTTGCAGCATTCCTGACATCAACATACAAATTTCAGTAATGGGGAGAATATGGCTCTCAGATTAGAGATTAAGATAATTACTGCTCTTACCTAAATTAGAATAATGCATTTTCCCATCAACCAGAGGCAAACATTCATGTCATTTGTTCACTTAATGGAATGGTAATTGTTGATTTTCTTAGACATTTTCTTGGGAAAGAAGTGCACAGTTCTGATGGCTGGCAGCAATTTGTGTATATGCTGTCTCTAGTTTGGGGATCAGCCAGGGCACACTGGCAGCAGTTTTCCAATCTCTTTGAGCATATATGGCACGGGAAGGAGGCATCCCATGTCTCCTGGAACTGGTTGTGATCTGAAAGCCAGTCCTCACTGCAACCCCTGCTGAGTCCCTGCAATTTGGACTGGAGAACCTGAGTCCAGTGTGTGAACTATCTGTCCTGTGCACTACTGTGTTCTTAACCCAGATAGACAGCAAACGGATTTTGCTCACCCTCTTTTAAAACTTTCCCTAGGAAGCAGGTGGAGGAAAAGAAGCATCTGTCTCTCCGTCACTGTGAAGAACTTGGGGAAGACACTTACCATCTGCTATCAGGTATGAGGGCTCTGCTGTCTTTTTTAGGAGAAGGTAAAAGCTCTGGTCACAGTATGGTGACACTTGCCTTAGCCAAGTATGCAGACTCTTGCAATCACACTGTTCAAAGCCCAGGTCCCTCTGAAGAGAGGGATCACTCTGCAGATTTGCAGTAGACCATTTTACTAAGGTATCAAGCCTGACGTCCCTTGATCCTAAACAGTTTACATTCATCAGGAACAGTGCAGGACCTCCAGGAAACTCTGGAGATCTATAGCAGGCAAACTTTTTTTTTACTATTGCTTTTATTTCTCTTCTAGGTGAGCCCACTTGTCTGCCTTAACAGGAGCACATCTGCATGCAGCCTCACCAAGCAGGCAGCTGCCCCGGCTTCCTGCACTACACATATTATTGCTGCAGCACAAACCCACTTCTCAGTTTCATTCAGATTCTCCCAGTACTTCTGTGTTGTGCTTAAAGTTACTCTCTGTGATTAGCAGAAAGAATACACTTGAAAATTCTATTACTGCTTTGTCCACTTTCCTAGCTTAGTGCTGAAAGTGTATGTGAAGAAGATCCCCTGAAAAATATGTTAAGTGGATAGAAGAATGACTGTGGAAAACAGCACATTTGAACGAGGCCTCGGGTAACTGAAGTCAGGCTGATTCACACTTTGGGATCTTACAGAAAAATACATCGACAAAACCTAAATGCTTTTGTCCTTTACTAAGCAGCAAGTTCAGGGAGGGAATCAAGCTAGGGAGAGCAGACTGCAAGTAGGGATTTCTTTTAGCTGTGCTGCTAATTTGCATGTGTATATAAATAAAGTAGATGTGCAAATGGATGTATGTTTCTATAAGAAAGCTCTACAAACCCTTGCGGCTTTTCCAGTCAGAGCAGGTGTGGGAAAAGCTCACCTGAGTCTGAGTCGTCTGGGCTGACCGAGCTCAACAAGTCTTTCTCTTTTTCATAGTCACTTTTGCAGAGCAATTGCCCTTCCTTAAGAACAAACTCGTCCCCTTTCCTCAGCTGTCGTTCGCAGACACAGCAGCAGAAGCAGCTTAAGTGGTAAACACACTCCAGGGCTCTCATCACGAATTCTGTTGGGGCGATCTTTTCCATGCAGCCACTGCACTTAGCAGCAAACAGCCTGTAATAAAGAGAGGCAGCAAAGTCAAAGGGAACGTCAGAGCATACACTGCATGAATTCAAACACAGCAAATGCTCTAATTTAACTGCAGATCTGTTTGGCTCATGCCAAAAAAAAAAAAAGACTGAAGGTTTGTCCTTATCTCACTGTTTTGTTCCTCTTCAAAATGAGAAACAAAAAGGAGCTCTCAGAGTACAGATACCTTGTTCAAAACCAAGTTTACTTTAATGCACCTTATAGAGGAAGGACCAATTCACACTTTGCTTTACACAGGCTCTCTTGTTTCAGCACTTAAACCCTATTCTGAGCAGATTTCATGACTTTCCATTTTTTGGTATTGTCTGTCTCTGAGGAGGCTGATCAATGAGCACAGAAACAAGCACAAAACAGTGCAATTGCTGAGAAGACGGCGTGCACACATGTGTGATCGCACACATGCAATTGATAAAGTCAGGAGTGAAATAACATGGCTTTTCCTTGGATGTTGAGTTATTCCAGAACAACCTGTCTCTGAAGGGAGTACTGTGCATTTTAAATGGTGTGAAACATCCTTTGGCAGAGATAGGCAGCGATACAATCTGCTAAATTACCACTATAATCACAGGCCCTAGAATATACACTACTCAAGACTAGTTCTCATTAAACCTTTAAAAATCCCCTTTCCTCCATCATTAATTTTCTAAGATAAAGTTAGGATGATTCAGATTAATTTTATTTTGCTTTTCTAATGGCAACTGGGAATCTCCCTAAGTGAGCTTTTAGGAAGGGAGCTGCTTCAAATAAAGACGAATAGCCAAGTTACGTCCCTGTACCACGCAGTGACCTTGGTGATTTCAAATTCAGTGTCTTTTATCGCAATATATCAAAGTGCAAGGTGCATTAACATTTACATTTTGGCAATGAAATTAACACAACTGCACCCATGTGCTTACAGGGGGAAAAAAAGAGAGATTCTGCCTTTTGGGATGGGGTATGCGGATGGTTGTTTCGTCCTCAAAATTATCACCTTTTATAAAAAAGGGCAATTATCGTCAATTTTAGAAGGCACACGCTGTGGTAGTTCCTGATTCCTCCAAAGCCTCCATTTTGTCTGAGCTCAGTAGTACAGCAAAATGGCAGTCACTAGCTCCTCAGCAAGCGATGGAGTCACAGAACGGGCAGGAGGAAAAGGAAAATGTAAATCCATTTACACATGGCATCTAAAGGAAGGCTCAGAGCCCAGTACCTTGTGGCATTTCCCCATCTGTATCTTCTGATCTAATAAAAGAGATCTACACTATTAACCTTGCAGGCTCGGTGTGCACCTCTGCATGGCCACAGCCACAAGGTAACAGCTGAGCACTGTATGAGCCACGCAAGGTGGACTGAGCACCTCTTATTTGGCTACATAATGAATTAAATCTATTAAAGGGACATTGATGCTACACACAGGACCCACGGGCACTGCTAGTAAATAGGCCATCTTATTTCATATGGGCTTGTCTGCAAGGGTTTTCTTACAATGCTTTAGCTAGCAAATTCCTAAGCAGGAAATATTTTCATCTAGGCACAGTAACATATCTGAAAGGATTAAAGGACAAAGGAGAAAGGGGGGAAAAAAAAAAAAAGAGCAAACAGATTTTAAGCACTTTAAAAAGTTGTTTCTATTTAACTGCTTAAACCGATTTGACTCAGTTTAATTAAGCTTGTATCCTTTGTCTGAAGCCTGTTGTTATGATGGAGCGCGCTTAAGCACTCCGCAGGTTAGCAGGTCTGCTGTGAAGGCACCGGCTCATTCACACCGCTCGCTGCCGGCACGGACGGGACGGACCCGACGTGCGGGTCCCGCGGCCGGGGGAAGCGGCGGCGCTTCAGATCGGTGCTGCTCGTCTGAGCCGTGGGGAAAAGGCAACTGCGGGTTCTGTCGCGACAGCGCTGCGATCGGAGCAAACCGCTGTGCGCTGGGGTCTGCCTCCAGAGGGATACCGCGGGCGCACCGGAGACCCGCTCCCCCAGCCTGGCAGCGGGCAGGTTCCCACCTCCCCACGGCACAGAGGAGAGAACGGGGGGGCCCTTCCCCGGGATGAGGCTGGCGCCTGAGGGGCCCGTGCGCGGCCCGAAGCGAGCGGGAGCGGCGCTGCGGTGATGGGCGCATCCCCCCGAGCAGAGCTGCGGCGGCCGCCGGGCTTCTTCCAAGCAAACCGCAAAATACATGCAGTGAAAGTGAAAACACGAACGTCACACGGGTTACACTTAATTCCAAATAAGAAAGCATATCCACCCTTCACATTCCTCCTAACTGGGACACAAAACCAACCTCCTCTCTTCTCCGCCTTGTGCTGCGGAGCATGTTGCTCACCTGAGGAGCCTCCTCACTGCCACACTGCTTTACTGAGTGGGGTTTTCCCCCTCCTTTTTCTTCAAAATAAGATGTCTAAAGCATAAATAGAAATATTTTGTGTTATTTATTTGCAATTGACTATTGCCACGAAAATGGGGCTTTCAGCACTGTTTCCAAAGGCAGTCTTTTAGTTATAACGAATTACACTGTTGTCAATGTAGCATTAACTCGTTCAAATTACCATTAAATTGGCCTGACAATACTGCACGATCTTTCTGTCTTTAACTTGTCTGTTGTCAACGTAAGAAAATTCCTTGCTCTGTATTCAGATGACACTCCCTGCATTATAACACACACACAAATACACTGCACTGCGTTGGACTGGATTCTAAGATTATAAAATCTTCATTAAATTTATCTTACAAAGTGTTTATGGGCATTTTTTCAGCTCCCAGAGAGTAACCGAAGGTTATGCACTTTTTTTTTTTTGCACGAGGCAATCTCACAACAGGAAACTAATCTTGACAAATGACCAGACTTTGATATCTGTGATCTAAAACACTGCTCATTAGACTGTTCATTTTATAAACGAAAGGTAATAAACCTGTTGAGAAGTGTAGGATAGCAGGAATACTTTACAGAGCACCCCTTTACAGGTTTCAGTCGCAGCCATAAATTTGAAGGGGAGCATGCAGATCCTCTGTGCTGAGACAAAGCCTCTGTCCCACACCAACCACATTTAAAGAAAGAGTTCTTTTGCTTTCTATACATTTTACAAATAATTTGCATAACTCTGGCTTTTTACCCCCATGGCTGATTATCTCCAGCTCTCTTAAGTTAATGTCAAACCTCAAAATCCTTGGACTTGTTAAAGTATGTGGAGAGTGGAAATCAAATGCCTTTATTAGAAGCCCCAGGAAATCTCCGACTCCTAAGCACAACGAAAACATTCCAAAGAAAATGGTTCAAAGAGGACAAAGGAGAAAAGCAGAACAAGAAAACCTTGTTTTGAATCAACGATTGCAAGAGTTTTATAAATAAATTCTGTTGCCTGGACAATTCTGAAAGACAACTCAATAGGTTTAGGAGTTTTTAAGTATGTTTGCCTCTATGCCTGGAACACTTGGGGATTCAGCTGAGCTAAAGCTTGGAACAATGGCCTGCCTGTCCATCTGAGTATTTGCAATAAACGCTGTAAAGCAACTTTACAGTACTAGAGAGTCAAAACCTCTTCACCAGCTAAAACTGGGTGAACTCAGCAAATTAATTTTGCATAGATATCAGGGGCAATGAAAACGCTGAGACATGTGGTCCTGTCTTTAAACAGTAGATGAAAATGTTCACCAGCGGAAGAGGCCATAAAGATTTTATTTGTTAGGATATCCCTGTGAAGTCAAGCTGAATCAGTAATCCTTAGAAACAACCACAGTTACATGATCCACCGTGCCTTCCTGCATGGGCACAACCATCTGGTGTTTAATACGTACTACTGATTTATTATCTCTCGCGTAGTTATCTTGCAGTAAGTTTGACCCTGCTCTGCTCCAGAGAATCGCGGCTCTGCTGTTTACTCTTCTGATGTCCTGACAACCCACCCTTACCTTCCTATTGCTCACCCAGGTCCTTCATTTCCTCCTGTCTGTGGGCAAATAGATTTTAATTGTTTTATTATAACTAATTTAATCTGTGCTGAGAGATCTCCATGTGCAGTGCGAAATTTGCTGTTCATATTAAGTGTGGTTCAAGAGGTTTGTTATACAGGACTGAGGTATAAAAATAGACTAATTCAGTCAGGTTGTTTATTTACTGGACCTCTGCCGTGAAGCAGTAAATAGGAAGTTATTAAGCTGTGTTTGATATATGCAAGAGGACAGATGCTGCTGTCTACCTATCAGAGACATTAAATCATTTTCCCTTCTGTGTTATCCTGACGTTACGTGTTACAAGAAACCACAGCAGATACCTGGCTCTTCTTTCTTTAATAAATATGCAAAGATGGTGGTCACAAGCTTTTGTAAATACTGTAGGCATAGTCTGTAGCTCTGATGCTTTTCTTCCTGATGATACCCTGCATATAACATCCCTATCATCCTTATAGAGCCAGCCAGGAGCTCACTTTGTACTTGTATAGTACAAAATATGTCAGAGCTGAAGTAAAACGTATTATGCTTTTCAAACAACTGAGTGTTATTAAAAGAAGAAATTAAATTATTAATGAATGACTCTTTCTTAGGGACAATTTTCTATGCTTCTCTCTCTTTAGTGGATGCAGAAGGGGAAAACCACTATGCACAGGGTTTAGCCAGCACAGGACTTGGACATTTTTGTAGTGTCATACAGCTCACGGCTGCTTATAAAAAAGAAAAACTGTTGCTTGGTTACACTGAATTCTGAACATTCAAAACATCTCGAGTGCACTAAAGCAAAACAGAAATATTATAATTTTATGATTTGAAAAAAAAAAGAACCCTAAAAAAAGAAACAATCCATTTCAAATATTTTCCCTGCAGAAAAAACAATTACATAGTTTATTAAAGCTGATTTCACAGCTGAAACTTCAGTAAAAGGAAGCTAATTCCCTTTCACTGAGTGGTAATAAAACATGTGCAAAAATTAAAAGTTTCTGAAAAAAAAAATTAATATTTGGAGAGAAACTAAAACAAAGAAACCTTTTTCTTCT